CTCACCTCATAAGAAGCCTGCAATTAGGCTATATAAGCTTGTGGTTCACCTCCTTTGGAACCTGCTTGTTTAGAACTCCTGCTTTAAGATATCCATGGTACACGACATATGCTATAGGATGAATCTCCTCTCCAGAGGGTGCAATTCCTCTATATCTTCATCTCCATGCGATTATAACATCTGAAAGCCACTCAGTCATTAATGGCCTTTTACCGAGCTTGTAACATTTCTTGTGTGATCCCCCTTCATGAGATGCCCCTGGAACCTTTCATAGGCTTTTTTGAATGTGGTTTGAGTGTGGGCGAGGACACAGGGGCCCCATGGTCCCCTATTGCCTGGGGGCCCCATGAATTGTCAGTCCACCCCTGCTCCTAGCATGAATATTTAACATATAACAACCCTAACCCAAAAACCTAAGCCTGCATTCACATCTGAGCAGAGCACAAGCAGTGCATATTCCTGGTTATTTTGAAGCATTTTTCTCAGGCATTTTTCAGACATATTTAAGGCATTTTACAGCACATATATTGTGCATTTATAGGTATTCCCCATGAAGTCTATGAGATCAAAAATGCCTAAATATACTATTTTTAAGTGTAGGGCTTAGGGCAACTGAGTGTACAAGTGTGAACAAGTACACATAGAAAGAATGAGATTCTGCATAGCCATGGTTACATAGTTACATAGTTTGGCTGAAAAAGGACAAAAGTCCATCCAGATCAACCATTGAAAAAAAAAAAAAAAAAGTTATAATCCTATACCCACAGTTGATCCAGAGGAAGACAAAAAAACTAGCAAAGCATGACCCAGTTTGCTCCTGCAGAAAAAAATTCCTTCCTGATCCACCAAGAGACAATCGGATATTCCCTGGATCAACTTTACCTATAAATGTTAGTATCCAGTTATATTCTGTGTATCCAAGAAATAATCCAGGCCTTTTTTAAAGCAATCCGCTGAGCTGGCCAGAACCAACTCTTGAGGGAGTCTATTCCACATTTTCACAGCTCTTACTGTGAAAAAGCCTTTCTGTGTTTGGAGCTTACATTTCTTTCCTCCAGACGTAAAGAGTGCCCCCTTGTCCTCTGTGTTGACCTCAGGGTGAATAACTTTACACCGAGTTCATTACATGAACCACTGATGTATTTATACATGTTAATCATATCCCCCTTAATCTCCTCTTCTCAAGAGAGAATAAATTCAGTTCCTTCAATCTTTCCTCATAGCTGATCTCCTCCTGCCTCTTATCAGTTTGGTTGCCCTTCTCTGTACTTTCTCAAGTTCCCCAATGTTCTTTTTGTGAATTGGTGCCTAAAACTGAACTGCATATTCCAGATGAGGTGTTACTAATGATTTGTACAGGGGTAATATGATATCTCTCTCTCTGGAGTCTATGCCTCTTTTAATACAAGAGAGGATTTTGCTCGCTTTAGAAACCGCAGCTTAGCATTGCATGCCATTATTAAGCTTGTGATCTACCAGAACCCCAGATCCTTCTCCACCATTGATTCCTCCAGTTGTACCCCCCCTAGTATGTATGATGCATGCATAGTCAGGCTTAGGGAAAAGCAGAACACACAAATGGAAAGCTAACTTGACCCCTAAAATGAGCTTACCCACCAAACTAAACCCTAACACTAACCATTATTCTGTTGCATTCTTAACTTGTCATGCAATAGGAGCCTCTGCACTATAACCAGGCAGTCCTGTGCTGAAATCATGTACACCAAAATCCTGGCGCCAGGATTGCCTATTGCAGGGGTGCCCCTAGGGTTGGTGTCACCCGGTGCGGTAACACTTGGTGTCATCCCTCTGACGATCCACGCAGGATGGATCAGATCTGTGGATTGAGCATAATGGATCAGGGATCGATCCATTATGCTTCCCAATCCGCAGATCTGATCCATCTTGCGGGGATCGCTTGCTTGCAACCTATACAGGGTTAACTGATCTGTCAACACCGGTCTGGTCTGCACATGCTCAAGAATTGATGTCAGATGGAGGAGTTTCCTGATATCACGGTCGCATTTCCTGATTTCAGACAAGTCCGGGTTCTTGCACAGCCTTACCTAGATCAGTTAACCCCGTATAGGTTGCAGATGCATCCCCACAAGTTGGATCGGATCTGCGGATTGGGGAGCATAATGGATCAGACTCCAATCCATTATGCCCAATCCACAGATCCAATCCAACTTGTGGGGATGCATCTGCAACCTAAACTTTTCTTTTTGTGGAGCTCGTGGAGAGGGTTTGATGTCACCCTGTGCGATAGGTGTCACCTGGTGCGGCGCACCCCCCGCACCCACCTAGGGACGCCACTGGCCTATTGTACAAACAGGACATCATAAGTTTCTCTAAATGTTTTCCCTACATTTGCCTCTAATTGTCTTGCTAGTGAAAAGCCTTGTAGCGGTCACCCGATATGCTCAGCTGGAATTATTCATGACGAGGCCCAGACATTTCCATAGCATGGGAGGCATTTCAACACTTAAGCTGCCCCAAGAGGAGATAAGGTTAGAAATGCCAGTGTACAACAAATTTAATGTAAAGTGCAATGTGATCCCTGGTGCCCAGGGTGAGACGTGATAATTATAGCTGGGGAAATGTTACAATACGATATCACTCCACCTGATACCTGCACACGCTGGAGCATACATGCAAGTAATCAGCTAATAAAAACAACATAGTAAAATATTGTTCATTTCTATTGTGAAAATACAGGCTCCATCATAAAACTAATATTTAATTTTCTTTTTCCAAATTAAATGCCAGCTTGCAGACAATAGAATCATAACCATCATAATATAATATAATCTTCATAATAATACATCTGTATTGTAAAGTAAATGACTGGATTTGTAGAGCATGTAAATACTAATAAAATCCGCAGGGACATTTGAATGATTAAGAAGATACAAAACATTAAGATATACAAAGTTTTTATTTTTATTAATGTGTGGACCTTTGCTTTTTAATGCAACTAATAAGTATTCCTTATTTGCCTTCATGTCCAAAATATGTGCCTTGTATGTGTAAACTATGGTATACCTTGGACCGTATGCAACCAAAACCTAAAAAAAAAAAAAAATAATCTGCTAAAAGGACCACAAAAAACTTAAAATACCTAAAACTGACATTTTTTATATTAGTGCATTTTTTTCTGCTCCTACAGGTGGCAGTAAACTACTGACCTGTGTATTACGACCTCCAGGAATTTATGGACCAGATGAAAGAAGACTTTTACCAAGGCTGGTGGTATGTCATCAGTTCTGAAATATTGTGTACATAAAGCTTAAATACAAACTAGAAAAGGGTGCAGAGATTGGTATCAAACCTTTGTAAGCAAATTATCAGTGCTGGAGTTTATTCTGTTAAGCAAATTATCAGTTAAGAGACACTTCTGCAAACAATGTAGAAATGGACCCTCAGTTAGACTGTGGATTACAGCAAGGTATCGCCACTACAGGGTATTAGTTTGCAATTAAATATAGAAGAATAGTTACAAGTTATGTGAAGATGCCTATGGAACAGAGCCAGGTGTGGACCACATAATGCCCCAGGCAGGATATCGGTTTTGCCATGAACTTAATAAAGTGGTATTAAACCCAAAAGTAAACATTTGTTATATTCCAGCTTACCAGTTGTTAGATAATAACTAAGGTGTAGATGGTGACTGCATTTATTCTTTTTTTTTGGCTTGCTTTCTTCTATTTTCATCTGGTGATCTGGCCAGTAAGTCTGTTTTTCAAAAGAACAAGCTTTCTTGCAAGATATATTAGTTACAGGGATGAGACAAACTATTCAACCCTGGCAGGGGTGCCTACAATGATCAATTTTAATAAATTTTTTAAAAAATCTTCATCCCAAAAGAAAAAACAGCTTAGAAAGTGTTAGCTGGAGTTTAGCTTCACATTGTTATTGTATTTAAATCTGCTTGTACACCTAACACTACCCCCCCCCCCCCATCTCCCAGATTAACAATCAGGGGCATTTGCCTAGGGCGGCACTTTACAGGGGGACGGCACGACGGCAGCGTAGCCCCCCCCTTTCCCACGGAAGGGACACTTCTGTGGGAAAGGGACAAGGACTGCTGTGTCTTACCATGTCCATGTCGATCCAGTCCACAAGGCGCTGCTGGAGGAGGGGTGCAGAGGGTGTCCGTCCGGTGTCTTCATCTTCCTGGATCTTGATTGCGATGTGGGTGGGATGACAAGCCACCCCTCGAATCTGGCCACACCCCTGGGATCACTGGGCAGCCTATGGCAGCCTGTCCCTCCCTCTGCAAGCTCCGCCTCCTCGCCGGTGATTGGCCACCAGATCTGTAGCTCAGAAAAGGCACACAGGCGGCCAATCAAAGGCGAGGAGGCAGAGCTTGGAGAGGAGGAGCTGAGCAGCAGTGCAAGGATTGAAGATCGAGTGAGGGAGCAGCTGGAGCCGGTGAAGAGTAGGAGAGCAGCTGGAGAAGGAAGACAGCTGATGGGTAAGTGTCTGTGCCTTAAGGAGGGAGCCCCGGGCTGGAGCAGGGGTCAGCACAGCGATGTAAGTATAAATGGTGTCAGTGGGAGTAGTGCCCCATCATTAGTGTCAGTGTGGGAGGATTAGTGCCCCATCATTGGCATCAGTAGTGCCCCATCATTGGTGTCAGTGGGAGGAAAAGTGCCCCATCATTAGTGTCAGTGTGGGAGGAATAGTACCCCATCATTGGTATCAGTGGCAGGAATAGTACCCCATCATTTGTGTCAGTGGGAGGAAAAGTTGCCCCATCATTGGTGTCAGTGGGAGGAAAAGTGCCCCATCATTGGTGTCAGTGGGAGTAATAGTGCCCCATCATTAGTGTCAGTGTGGGAGGAATAGTGCCCCCTCATTGGTGTCACTTTTGACACTGGGGATACCAATGATGGGGCACTATGCCAATTCCACTGACACCAATGATGGGGCATTATTCCTCACACTGACACCAAAGATGGGACACTATTACTCCCACTGACACCAATGATAGGGCACTATTCCTCCCACTGACACTAATGATGGGGCACTTGCTCCCACTGATACCAATGATGGAGCACTATTCCTCCCCCTGACACCAATGATGGGGCACGATTCCTCCCACTGATACCAATGATGTGGCACGATTCCTCCCACTGTCACCAATGATGGGGCATGATTCTTCCCACTGACACCAATGATGGGGCATGAATCTTCCCACTGACACTAATGATGGAATACTATTCCTCACACACTGACACTAATGATGGGGCACGATTCCTCCCACTGACACCAATGATGGGGCATGATTCTTCCCACTGACACCAATGATGGGGCACTATTCCTCCTACTGACACCAATGATGGGGCACTTCCTCCCACTGACACCAAAGATGGGACACTATTACTCCCACTGACACCAATGATAGGGCACTATTCCTCCCACTGACACTAATGATGGGGCACTTCCTCCCACTGATACCAATGATGGAGCACTATTCCTCCCCCTGACACCAATGATGGGGCACGATTCCTCCCACTGATACCAATGATGGGGCACTATTCCTCCCCCTGACACCAATGATGGGGCATGATTCCTCCCACTGACACCAATGATGGGGCACGATTCCTCCCACTGATACCAATGATGGGGCACTATTCCTCCCCCTGACACCAATGATGGGGCATGATTCCTCCCACTGACACCAATGATGGGGCATGATTCTTCCCACTGACACTAATGATGGAATACTATTCCTCACACTGACACTAACGATGGGGCACTATTCCTCACACACTGACACTAATGATGGGGCACAATTCCTCCCACTGACACCAATGATGGGGCATGATTCTTCCCACTGACACCAATGATGGGGCACTATTCCTCCCACTGACACCAATGATGGGGCACTTCCTCCCATTGACACCAAAGATGGGACACTATTACTCCCACTGACACCAATGATAGGGCACTATTCCTCCCACTGACACTAATGATGGGGCACTTCCTCCCACTGATACCAATGATGGAGCACTATTCCTCCCCCTGACACCAATGATGGGGCATGATTTTCCCACTGATACCAATGATGGGGCACTATTCCTCCCCCTGACACCAATGATGGGGCACGATTCCTCCCACTGTCACCAATGATGGGGCATGATTCTCCCCACTGACACCAATGATGTGGCATGATTCTTCCCACTGACACCAATAATAGAGTACTATTTCTCACACTGACACTAATGATGGGGCACTATTCCTCACACACTGACACTAATGATGGGACACGATTCTTCCCACTGACACTAATGATGGAGTACTATTCCTCCCACTGACACCAATGATGGGGCATGATTCTTCCCACTGACACCAATGATAGTTGCGGGGGGTGCCCGATTTTAGTCTTGCCTAGGGCACTGTAACCCTAGGTTCACACCTAAGCGTTTTGCGCAGTTTTGCAGAGACGCAGTACAGTCCATTTAACATAATGTCCTATGGGATAGGTTCACATCTCCGTGTTTTCACCCGGTGAGTTTTTTCGAAAGGGTCAGGGACATTTTTGAAAGCAAAAAGTTGTGTTTTTGGTTCTATAGACTTCAATGGAAATGCTGCAGAAAAGCATGTAATGCGTTTTTTATGTGTTTTTGATGCATTTTAAATTTGCCTAGCAAGAAAAAGAAAAAAAAAAGCAAAACACTTCAAAAAAGCAGTCGCAAAAATGCAAAACGCAACACAAAATGCAATGCAGAAATGGGTCAAAAGCAAACTGCATAGGTGTGAACCTAACCTTATACAGGAGGTGTTTTACTGGTCAGATCACCAGGTGAAAACAGAGAGGGAAGTCTAAAAACAGAAAACTGATGCAGCCCCCACATCTAATGATTGTAAGCTGCAATATATTACAGTTTTGGTTTGGGGTTTAATATTGTTTTAGGTTTGGGAAGATCTTTTTTTCCACTGTTTTTTTCTGTAATGGATTGTAAACTATTTAATCTTCGGTATTACTCTCCTATACATTGACTGACTCCAGGAAAGGATTGGGCTAAGGTCGGGATGGGGAGACATTTGCCCCCTGGGCTAGTACAAATAATACATGTTGGGTTGTTGCCCCTGAGTGGAGATACCCCAATACCCAGAGCTCAGTCAGAGAGGGGACTGCAATTTGTGACAGTTGCTGGGTTTTCTATAGCTATATATTCCCTGTTCAGACCTACGATCTTCCAGTATATACATCCTTTGTTGTCCTGAGATGTTATGTAACCAAATACAGTGAGGAAGTCAGGGCTGGAAGAATGCAAAACTGAAATACACTGTGCTCATTTGTTAAATTAATAATAATAGTTATTTCCATAAAGCCGCAGTTATCTTGTTCACATCATAAAGTACTATTTACATTGTATCCATTACAACCCCCCTTTTTAGCATATAGGTGAAAAGGTGTTTTACAATGTTATTTAAGACACCACCCATCCAGATCACCAACCCCCCCTCCCCACAGGGTTTCAACATTTACTCTCGGTTCACACTACTGCGACCTGAAAGTCGTGCAACTTACAGTGCAACTTTGCCAGGCAAATTGAGAATTACTTCAAAGTGACTTTGAAGCAACTTTCAGGGAATGCTTGGGTCATCTTCCTGTAATGTCGGATCCAAATCACATCAATACAGATAAGGATCCGACTTGGAGGTGACTTCCATTAAAGTCTATGGGTACAAGTCGGATAGAAGTTGCCTTGAAGTAGTACAGGAACCTTTTCTAAAGTCGGAGCGACTTCAGTAGTGCTAATTAAGACAGCTCTCTTTGACTAATATGAGATTCACATGTTATGTGACTTGGGGGTCTCACAAGTTGGATCCCAAGTCACGGCAGTGTGAACCAAAACTTACAGAAAGCAATGAACCTATAGAGTAAAAATATTGTTGTATACCAAAGGGCATAACTTAAAGTGTTTGTAAAGTCAATTTTTTTTGTTACACTTACCTGCCCTGTGCAGTGGTATTCCAGAGAGCAGCCCCGATTCTCCTCTTCCTGGATCCCCCGCCAGCATTCTAGGCTCCTCCTCTTCTCTGCGTGCCACAGTAGGAAGCCGCTTCCTATTGTGACACTCCTGCAGGCTCAATCCCACACCATGCTGCCTGCATCTATAGACACAAACAGCAAGGCTCACCCCTGCTCCCCCTCCCTATTGAACTGACAGCCAATGGCTCCCACTGCTCTCATCAAAGCCTGTGAGAGCAGAGAGAAGGGGAGAGAGCCACTACAGACAGGCACAGTGCCAAGTTGAGATCGGGCTCAGGTAAGTATGGGGGATTGAGAGGTGGATACACATACTGAAATATTTATTGCCTGGACTCACAGATGTAGCACCCTCTGGTGTACATACTTGTTGAGAGTAGTTAGAAGCTTTCTAGAAGCCTGATTTAGAAAGAGGGCTAATTCAGATCACGGCTGGAGGGCTCTACTGGTCAGTCCTCTGGTACCTCCCCCTGCTCTAGAAACTTGGAGAAGCTTGCGGAAGTCAGTAGATGGTGGTGAGGAGGGGCTGATCTGCATATTTATGGGAGTCTGGCCAATACCAGACAGGAGGCCTGGCAGTGTGGCAGATCAGCCCATAAATATGATACAGCCTGGCCAGCAGAGTAGTCGGGTGGAAGATGGAGTGCTGCGAAGGTGCTGTTGTTTAGCCTGGAGGGGACCCTGGAAAAGGACGGTCTTGCTTCTAGGCTGGAGGCTGGAAGCTGAAGGAGGGAGCTCCTCTGCCCTGTAGTCCACCGGGGAAGGAAAGCCTGCCAAGCTTGGAGAGGAACCAGCCCAGACACAGAGACCTGAAAGCAGTTTTATCCGCAGCAGCAGGGCAAGTATAGCATACCTCTACAGCCCCAGGGCCTAGAAGAGAGAAGTTTGATGGATGCAAGTTCTAGCAAGTCTGAAGGGGACAGTATATAGCTTACCCAATCCCTCATCCTAGGATCAGATACCATAGCCAGGTGGGCTGGTGTTTTGAACACTTAGGGGGCATAGAGCTCCTACAAGTTGAGACTTTGCTGAAATCCAATCAAGGAGACTCAGCCGTCCTGCAAGTAGCTGTACTTTGCTAAAAGAGACTGTCGGGGTTCTAGGTATTCATCTGCCATTGTTGTAGCATTTTTTAGAAAAGGAAGTTGTCCTCAGATTATTACTCTGCAATCAAATCGGGCATCTCATCACCCCTATACCCTATCCAAGGTAAATCCCCTAATAAAACTAAAAAAACAAGCACATGGACTGTTTCCTGTTTCTTGATGCAAGTGGAAAATGCATTTTGCCTGGCTGTGCAGGAGTAAAGAGGGATCCAAAACCTGCAGCCCTGAAGAGGGTAGTGCTACACAAATAACCTTATGATTCTGCTGATCTGTATTTCTGTCTCCTCATCTAGATGTCATTAATTGCTGTGGCTAATTAGCTTGAGTTCTTTAATGTCCTCAGTATTTGTGTAAATATAAGTATGTGGTGTTTCTGCCTTTTCTATTACTCTATGCCTGGCAAAGAAATCTGAGAATTCTCTAAAGCTTGCATTACAAATGTAGCACTACCCCCGTAGGAGCTGTGTGAGTATTGTCCAAGTATTCCCCACTGCTATGCTGATAGCCAGGCACAAGGCATTTTCCCAAAGCCAGGTGCATACACTTTTACCTCATTGGAGTCAAAGACCAGTCTAGGGGCAACTGTTCACAACTTGAGGACGCTTGCTGTTCTAAGATGGAGCCTTAGGTGAAGTCACTTGCTGGGAACAGATAGCAGATTACTCCTGTAATGGTAGTGTAGTAGTAAAGAAGCTTGATCAAAGTCTCTTGAAGTGTGTGGCAGGTGGACAGAGCTCTTCAGATCACTAGCCAGCGATCCCTTTAGCTGAGCCCTTAGCTGAATAGAGCAGCCTTTCTCAACCAGGGTGCCCAGGCACCCTGGGGTGCCTTAAAGGTTTCTTCAGGGGTGCCTTGCCAAAATGTGTAAAAAATTGCCCAAAACTTGTATACAAGCCAGCGGGTGGAAAAAGCCTGCCTTTTAGTTACACAAAGCCACAGGTTTCCATTGTGCACCATTACGACCTTCTAGCCACCGGCGGTCTGACAACGAATTACATCATCAGCCGATAAGGAGGGTTGTTGGTTGCCTGCACAGTATCCTAGTTTGACCCTCCCCTGCCCCTCTCCATCAGTGCTGGGATCACATTAGCTCAGTGATGGAGAAAAACTGAGGGAGAAGAGAAACACTGGAATACTAGTCAGTACTAGTGTGCAAAAGTGTATTTGCTTTGGAAGAATAAATCACCTCTACTGTTGGGTGTCCTACATGTGTGGATGTTGCTGCATTACATAAAACCATTTGAATAGCTTTTCATATTTTAGAATGGGTGCCCTTTTAAAATTAGGGGTGCCTCATAACTGTCCACAATTTTAAAGGGTGCCTCAGGGCTGTTCATAATTTTAAGGGGTCCCTTGATTGAAAAAAGGTTGAGAAACACTGGACTAGATGACAGAATCAGGTCCCCGAGATCCCACAATGTCTGTACTCACAGACTCTTGTAGAACAACCGGCAGCCTTTCTAAGTGATACTCAGTGGACTCCCGCTCAGTCAGATTTTAGGAGAACCAGAGCCATTCATCAGTTCCAGCTTCAGGCCCTCAGGTCACCCCAC